AGAATGAGTCCTTGATGTCATTACAGTTATTCTTGAGCCTCTAGACTTTATTATGTTAAGATGGTAAATTTCCTCATTACTGAAGCATGTTTGAGACTTTTCTGTTGTAACAGCCAAAGCATTTTAAATGATATAAGGACTTGAAAGTGAAGACTGCTCACTTCACAATGTCACCTGCAGCCATCCTTATTGATTACAACTTTTCACAAAGACATATTTAAGGTCCTGAAAGCCCAGAGACTACCTACAACTCAGAAAAATATACATTATCAATTACTGATACTGAAATTCATAACTTCATAGTTTCTGTAATTGTGGAGAAACTAAAACAATGCAGTCCCTCCTTCTTTGATACTGTATCTAAGACATTCTTTCACTAAGATGTTTTTTTCTCTCTAAAGCAGGGGTTAGCAAACTTTTTCTATAAAGGGCCACATAGTATTTACTCTAGGTTTTGCAAAAACTGCAACCTCTGCTATTATAGCTCAAGAGCAACCAATATGTAAACAAATGGCATTTCTGAGTTCCAATAAAACTTTATTTACATCCGTGGCTCAGTTGGTTGGAGCATCCTGCCATACAGGGAAAGGTCATGGGTTTGATTCCCATCAGGGCACAGACCTAGGTTGCAGTTCTGTCTCCAGGTGGGGCACCTACACCTAGGAGAGGCAACCCATCAATGTTCCTCTCTCATATGGATGTTACTTTCTCTCCTTCTAAAATCAATGAAAACATATCCTCGGGCGAGAATTAAGATTTTTTAAAAATCTTATTTACAAAAGCAGGCTGGATTTGGCCTTGCAAACCAGTTTGCTGACCTGATCTCTAAATGGTTAACAGTAAAGAGATTATCTCTCTTAAACAAATCAACTTTACTAGAACTTAAAAATAGTTTATTTAAAATGTGTACAAATGATGTAGAAACGTAAAGTAGCAAACTTTTCTTGCGCATTCTACTCATACCCATTAGATCATTTGATGTAGTCTAGCTACCTTATTTCTGTATAACATACTGTTAAAATGTAACAATATTTTGTTATCAGGCAGATATCACAGTAGGAAAAAAATATAAAGCTTAATTCATATGCAAATTTGCATCTCCTCACAAAATAAAAATAAGTAAATTAGTGAATTTGAAAAATTTCTCTACATACATAGTAATTATTCAAAGAAAAAAATCACCCTCTATATCTAACCTGAATGAACAGCTCTCTTCCAGGAGGCTGATATTAGAGTTAAAAATAGAATACGGAAGTGAATCAAATGGACCATATTTTCCTTCCAAACAGATCCCTGGTACAAAGATACACATTATATGAACATTTCAGCACCCAAAACCATAAACCCATTTTCAAAGGACACCATTTTCCACTGGCATTTATATACCTTACTCTAAGAAAACAAAAGGTGAATTTCACCTTTAATCTTTAGTCAAGAAAATATGCACATATACGTAAGCACATTTAAGAATTATTATAGGACAGCCATTTTAACCTTTTTCATCTCATGGTACACATAATTACTAAAATTCTGTGGCACACCAAAAAACATATGTTTTTGTCCATCTGACAAAAAAAATTGGTGTAATTTTGATTCATTCACACTGGACAGCTATTGTTGTACTGGCTGTTGTCATTTTTTTATTTGACAAGCTAAGGGAAAAGAGGTCAGTGGCCCTGACTAAATAGTCAGGTATTGCATGTTTTAAAAATTCTTGCGGCACCCAGCTGAAAATAGCTGTTGTAGGAAATTCCATTGTGTTATTCCATTCAAATGATAGAATTCTGAGAAACATTAATTAATGTTTAACAATAATAAACACCCTTTCAACATCTGTTACAAAATAACCTTATTTTTACAGAGTTTAAAGTAAAAAATAAGATCTATAAAGTATATATATAAGTACTGGCGTTTCCTATATACAAGGAATTGCTAGTAGCAATTACCAATGAGAAATATGACTGGGAAAGAGGTTGGAGGGTTCTAGGGAGTGAGGACTTTTGCTTTTCCCTTTACATCTTTTTCGGTCTTTAAACTTTCTCCTAAAATGTATTACTTTTTTAGCCTTTTAAAATGGTTTAAAATATATGTTCAATATAAGTTAATATTGAGACATATTCCAGGAACTAAAATGAAAAGGAAAGGCAGAAGTTCTCTGAAGGAAGCTAGACATCGAGGAACTCTCCGGGGTCAGACTGGCCACTTCCACCACTGGTGAGAGGTGAGCAGACACTGACTGCAGAAGCTAGAGGAGTTCCCCCAGAGTATCAGCCTGAGGCTTAAAACCACCTGGGAAGGGTGGAGTCCACAGCAATTCAATCCAGTTCCACTGATCCAGTACCCAAGAGTAGTATCTGTGTAGGTTAAGAAGTGCACCCTTGCCCTAGCTGGTTTGGTTCAGTGGATAGAGCATCGACCGGCCTGCAGACTGAAGGATCTCGGGTTCAATTCCTGCCAGGGGCACAAGCCCCCGTTGGGGTTTGATCCTTAGTAGGGGGCATGCAGGAGACAGCCAATCAGTGATTCTCTCTCATCATTGATGTTTCAATGTCTCTCTCCCTCTCCCATCCTCCCTGAAATCAATAAAAATATTAAATAAAAAAAAAAGTACACCCTAGCTCAGTGATGGCGAACCTTTTGAGCTCGGCATGTCAGCATTTTGAAAAACCCTAACTTAACTCTGGTGCCATGTCACATATAGAAATTTTTTGATATTTGTAACCATAGTAAAACAAAGACTTATATTTTTGATATTTATTTTATATATTTAAATGCCATTTAACAAAGAAAAATCAACCAAAAAAATGAGTTCGCGTGTCACCTCTGACACGCGTGTCATGGGTTTGCCATCACTGCCCTAGCTTTTGGTCTGCAGGGGGGCCACACCATCCAAGAATCTACTTCCTAGATTCACAAAAGTAGCATAAAATTCCATTATAGCTAATGGAATTTATTACCTATCAGGTATGCTCTACCAGCATAGCTCAGTCTTCACAATCTTAATAGAACACTTTTTTTTTTTTTTTAAGGCTTTGGTCTTTGGGAAGTACTAGTTAAAATTTGCCATTTTTAAATGGCGTAAGTTAAAATGCAGTAAGTTAGAAATGAATGAAAAGCAAGGCTCCCACCATCATCCAACATTTCGGACTCTACTATAGCAGACTATGCATAGACTAAAGATTGAGAACTGAAATTAAAATGAAATATGTACACTTTCAACAGCCTGCAAAGGATAAAAATAGTAAAATCCAATTCTGCTCTTGGGAACAGTGAAGCAATAAACAAGCAACAAGCCTTGCTCCCTCTCCCTGAGACTACTGAGAGTTAGCAAGAGGGAGAGAGAATAGTAAAACCTGTCATTTCTTACACCAGGAAAAAGAATGAATTTCCCGTTAAGAAGTAACGCATAAAACGAAGGACAGATGCAATATACTCTCCATACACCAAAATTACACTTATTCTACAAGTATTTCTGAGCTCTCGTACCTGCTCTTCCATGTGTGAGGATACGGGAGTAAACAAAACAATGTATCATCCACAAGGGCAATAATTTACTATTTCTAAATGCCACAGTCAAATTTTGTCTCATTTAAATGAAACTGTAAAGCATTCCAATGTACACATATTAGATATCCATTCCTTACGAATAATGTACTGTTTATTAAATCCCATCCTATATAAAGTGATTAAACAAAAGTCAGTGCAATCCTTTTTACAGCATACTATTGACTTCAAAATGAGTGTTCTAAATGCCGTCCTCCTGGAGGTAAACTATTATTGTTAGTCTCTCTGGAAGACAAGGCACACCGGTGAAAGCAATGGAATTCTGAAAATAAAGAAGTCTGAGTATTAATCCCTTCTCGACTCTAAGCATGCTGTTTTGGCAAATGGATTAAACCATTATTTATCCAGCAAAATGAACGGGGCAATTGTTCCTTCAGAGCTCCGTCAGCAATATAACAGGGTATTTAGTGTTCGTGTTCTAAAAAAAATGCAGCGTAAACAATAGATCGCAATGTCTATGTCCAAGTACTCATTTATCAAATAAACCCTAACCATCTCGGGCTTTCAGGTTCACATCATGCCCGTCTTGGTGCCACCGGACTCGTTAAAATGTCTTCTTGAGAATCTCAACTGTTATTTCAACGTAAGTATCTTTGATGAAGTTGACTTCACACTTCCAACCTCATGAATAACCACCACTAAAGGGGAAAATAAAACACCGAATAGTGGGAGTGGCTAAAGAGCCACGGTATCTGCATAGGAAGCGGGGTGCTTTTTTTAAACTGAAATCATGCCGTGCCCCCCTTTCCCAGGTGGCCCGGGAACTCAGTTCAGAGCCCTTTGCAGGAAGGGGGGCCGGGAGGTTCTCAACCCGCCCGCTGGGGTCTAAGACACCAAAGCGGCCGCCCCGGCCCCGAAAGCGGAGGCTCCGAGGCCGCCGCCGCACGTAGCGGGGCGGCGGGAGCGCGGCCCCGGCTCGGGGTGCGGGCGGCCGGGAGCGGTGCGCGCCCCAAGCCCGGGACGCGCCATCCCCGGGCCACGAGGGCGGCCGCACGCTCTCTAGTAACTCAACACCCTCCCCTGCACCCCAGGCCGGAGGCTCCTGGATGCCTCCCCGCCCGGCGCCGGCCCTCCTCGCGGCTGCATTTCCAAACTGCCCGCCGGACGCGCGGGCGGCCGGGCCGCGCCCAGGCGATGGAACCCGCCCGCCCCGAGCTCCGGGTCCCGGCCGACGCCCGAGGCGGACCCCGCGCCCGCCGCGGGGAGAATCGCGCGGCGGCAGGTCCGGGCGGCGGCCGGTCACGACTCGGGCCGGCCTCGCGGGTCCCCCCGCCCCGGGAGCGGCCGGGCCGATAGGGCGGCGCCGCGGGGCGCGAACGGAGGCGCGCGAGGCCCTAGCAGCGCGGCCGACGGGCAGCGCGGGCCCCGCAACTTCTCGCCACCCCCGCGGCTGCGGCGGCGCGGGAGCGGGGCGCGGGGAGGCGCCGGCGGCTTACCCCACGGCGAGCGGTCCTCCACCCGAGCGCGGCGGGGCGCAGAGCGCGGGCCGGGCGTCGCGGCTGCGGCAGGAGGGAGGGAGACGCGCAGTAGGAGCCCGGGCCCCGGAGAGCAGAGGCGCCGCCGCAGACAGCTCCGCAATATGGCCGCCCGGCGGCTCCGGGCGGGGCGGGGGTGGGGGGGAAGGCGGGGCTGCCCCGGGCCCCCCGCCTCCCCCTGCCGGCGGCCGCCTCGCGCCGCGGCCAGAGCGCCAACGCCGCCGCCCGGCCGCCCCGCCCCGCCCCGCCCTGCGGCTCCCAGCTGCCCCCGTCGCGGGGCGTCGGCGGGGTTCTCCGGCCGGGGCTGGGCCGCCGAGCCCGGGGGGAAGTGGGGCGCGCGCCGAGGAAGGGGGACCCCATCCGGGGGCCGGGCTAGAGCGAAGCGGGCTGCGCGGAGCCGCCCCACCCAGAGCGCAGAGCGCCCGCCGCTCCCCGCGAGTGGAAACTTGAAACTCCCGCTGGTGCCAGGAGACGCGCCGCGGGCGTCTGCGCGGCCCCCGAGGAGGGGCTCTTCCCGCAGGGAATCCGGGGCCGACTCGAGCGTGGTCGTTGGCTGTTGGGCTTGAAAAGCCTGGGTCAGGGGAGAAAAAATGGGCCTTTCAGGGGAATTTGTATTTGCAACAAAGACTGTTTAAGTTATTTTGGCAGGTTTTACCCAACTAGACAAACGTGCTTTCTCAGGGGCAGTGTTTACTTTAAACTCTTAACCAAAACCTCGATGGATATGGCCTCAAACGAGAGTGCACATTTTTATCCAGGCAAGGATATTGGGTGATTTTGTATCACCACCCACATTCTTTGGCAGTTGTGGAGCCCATGAAAAAGTTGCAAGTGGGGGATCCAAAGAGCCACCAAACCTAAATTATTCTAAATTTAGAGAAAGGCATTTGATGATAGTATAACACTAGCCTAGGCATGTTAGTGGCTGGGAATAGATGGACTTCTGGTCAGTGTTGTGTCACCTTGCTCCCTCTCCCCGCTGTTTTCTGCTGGGATGCAAAGACCTAAACATGCTTTGCGTATTAAAAAAAAGAAAACAACGAAAAAATAAAACAGCAGTTGCACCAAATCAGATTAGCCTAGTTTGCCCTGTTTGCAGCACTTCATATAGTTTACCTTTTATGAACAAACTTTAGATTCAAATAAAACCTCACGAGTATACTTAACTTGTATAGAACAATAACTCATATCCTTCCTTCCTTACCGTTTGCCTTCCCTGAGACGGTAGCTTTTCCTGGAACTCTCTCCACAGGTCACTTTGACTATGCTTACTCTTCAGTGACTTTCCGCCATTGCCCTGCAAACAATGAAAAGCCCCAGGAGTTTAACTCAAAAGCCTTTAGATTTCATATTTCTCAAGGATGGAAATCAGGTGTGTGTGTTTTAACTCAAAGATTGCTCCCTGGCCTTCCTGGATGGGAAGAATTATACACATCAAGTGGCATGCATAATAGTCAAAGTAATATGTACATTCCTCGGTGGTACAAGAGTTAAAAGTATATAAAATACTTTTGCAATGGAAAATGGATTCACTGTTGCTCATCATGTGCCACCCACGGGTGTGAAATGCTTTTATATGACTTTCTTTTAATAATGGCAACAGCCCTGTGTTTGGGGATAGAGGGGGAAGGACAATGACTAAAGAAAAACCTCAAAGTAGTTAAGTAATTTGCTCAATGTAACAGCTGGAAAGTGGCAAAGCCATGACCAAACCAGTTACATTTGACTCCAAAACCTTCATTTTACTCCATCCCAGGCCACAGTACCCAGACCAGAAATTGTAACATTTCCCTTGGCTATCATATTAGTAAATGTTTAAGTAAAAGATAATATCCAAGACTAATGAGATAAATAGGATACTCCCAGACATTGAGTGGGAGTATAAACAGAAACAACCTGTTTAAAAAGCAATTTGGCACTGTGATTCAACTTACAAAAATGTACGTGGAAACCTCGTCCCATGTCTGGGATTCTTTCTGAATGCAAAAATCTGAAACTGAGCAAAAGCTTTGTTCATAAACTCTACATCGCAGTATTATTTATAAGGTGCAAAAATAAAAAGTTTGTCTACTCTAGCATTTCAGTAACAATTTTAAATGTTTATATGTTATAGTATTACATCATGGCAAGTGGGATTTTATAGTACTAAGTGGGGAAAAAGTTATAACACTATCCATGCAGTATTATCGCATCCACGTTTAAACACACACACACAAACACACACACACACCAAAAAAACAACAACAAACAAACAAAAAAACCAAAACACTGCCCTAGCCGGTTTTCTTCAATCGATAGAACATTGACCTGCAGACCGAAAAGTCCTGGGTTTGATTCCAGTCAAGGGCACAGGCCTGGGTTTCAGACTCCATCTCCAGTAGGGGGCATGTAGGAGGCAGCTGATCAATGGTTCTCATCCTTGATGTTTCTATCTCCCTCTCCCTTCAATAAATCAATAAAAATACGTTTTTTAAAAAGCAGTAGAAAAATATCCACGGGTGAGGATTAAAGCAAACAAACAAAAAAACAACTATGAGTTGTTAGGAAAAAAAGAAAGATTGAAACCAGAGTTGTCTTTAGATAGTGTTTCTATGGGCATATTTTTCCTTTATTCTGTTCTTCAGTATTTTCGACATTACTTTCGCAGTGTAAAGAAATCTAAGTGTCACTACAATGTGGGTTGTCAGTTACACAAAAATAGCAAAGCTGAGGCAGGATAGTAGGAAGCTTGGAAAAGTCCTTGGCAAGTGGAATAGGGAAATGCAGACAGGTGGCTGATTCAGACGTGCCTCATCCAGCACCCTGACTCACCTGCCTCCTTTCCTCTTGCATGACCACTCCCGTAAGCATTAAGCCCTCAAGACAATGAGGTCCTGATCAGCATCAAATAATCTTGGGAACGAAGCCTCAAGCCTTGGGTCTGTTGACCATGGAGACAGAGTTTTGGTCAAACTAGAGATAACATCTAGGTTTCAGCTCCAGGCCCAGAAAAGCAGCAAAACCAGAGGAAACTGCATGACAGCTGACATGAGGACCAGATGCAATGATTACTGACCCCCCCCCCCCCCCCTAGTGCCGACCAATAGGTAGAAACCAGGACCCTGACTCCATAAGCTCATTTTGATGAATCAACATATTAAAGGACAAGTCTGGAAAGCTGATGAATATTCTAGTGAGATCCTTTCCTGAGATCTCCTCTAGAATTCCTGCCTTTAGAAAACAGATTTTAAAACCCCTTAAGAAGACCCAGGTGCATTGCTCTCTCTCTTTAGACTAGAGCAGTGGTTCTCAACCTTGGCTGCACATTAGAATCACCTGGGAATCTTTTTAAAAATCCTGATTTCTGGCCTCATCCTCCGGAAATTCTGTTTCTTTGTTACTAATGTTGTGGCCCCACCCCATAACAAAGAAACAGAATTTCCGGAAGATGAGGCCCAGAAATCAGGATTTTAAAAAAAATTCCCAGGTGATTCTAATGTGCGGCCAAGATTGAGAACCACTGGGCTAGAGCAAGCCGATACCTTCTTTCTTCAGGCATTTATCTTTGCTTTCTTTCTCCTAAGCCAGTGATGATGAACCTTTTGAACTCGGTGTGTCAGCATTTTGAAAAACCCTAACTTAACTCTGGTGCCGTGTCACATATAGAAATTTTTGATATTTGCAACCATAGTAAAATAAAGACATATTTTTGATATTTATTTTATATATGTAAATGCCATTTAACAAAGAAAAATCAACCAAAAAATGAGTTTGTGTGTCACCTCTGACACGCGTGTCATAGGTTTGCCATCACTGTCCTAAGCTCTAAGAGGCCCCCTGAGCCTTGCAGCCAGGGGAGCAGCAGGCCGAGGCAGCTAACCCCCTGAACCTGTCTCCAAGGGCCCCCCCCCTTTTTTTTTTGCCTCTGTAATTTGTTTCCTGAATCCATGCAGCCCAGCTGGCTCACTTCTGCATCTGGGACTCTCTTTCTAAAGGACCAATGCAGTTCTCTGAGCAGCCCACTCGAATCTTCCCTTGGAGTGTACCTTTGCTTTGCATAATAGATAAACTTCCTTTTGCACTCTGAATTCTTTCTTTGCCAAACTCAAGAACCGGGAGCCAACATCACTGGTAACAAAGCCACTGTTTCCTAAGTGTGAGGTTCTTCTGTGAAGAACTGGGAACTGAGTGGACAGGATTTTATAGTCAGGAGTCAAGTTTACTATTGCTTATAACTTAATCTACACACCACCATTGTTTTCTTGTTACTTACATCAAATATATGCACCTTTAATGTGGTTTGGTTTTAATTTATCTTAAAGTGAAAGGGGGGGAAGAGAGAGAGAGAGAGAGAGAGAGAGAGAGAGAGAGAAACACCAATGTGAGAGAGAAACAGTAATTGTTGCCTCCTGCTTGCCCCTTACTGGGGATGCAGCCCACAACCCAGGCATGTGCCCTGACTGGGAATCGAACCAGCAAGCTCTTGGTACATAGGACCACACACAACTTAGCCACACCAGCCAGGGCTATATTTGCTGAAACTTTTTTCAGGAAAAAAAAAAATCTGATGCTATTATCAGCAGTTACAAAAAAAACTTTTATATATAGCACAAAGATGTTTATCACCAAAGGTTTCAGAAAGGTGAATTGAGATCAGGTTGGGAAGTTCAGAATTTGCCCTTCATCTTTGAGGAACTAGCACAAAATATGTATAAAAAGGAAAGGCCAAAACCAAACCAACCTATTACTAAGTCTTTTTGTTACAATCCTATGGTGCTCCACCACAATATGTTGTCTAAGTCTGAATTCTGGAATAGCTACAAAGCATTTGTCTCACTAGCATATATAAAAGTACTTCTTGAAAATGAAGAAAATTCCTTTTTGCAAGTATGGCTTATAAATGGAAGTTTTTTGATATAGAACAAACTCAACCCTTCCCTACTGTAAATAAGACTTGGTCCCTACCCCCTGGATTCAGTAACGAGAAAATCAAACAAACTGCACCATGAGCTATTATAAAGATAGACAAAGTGTGTCAAGGAGGACAGAAGAGAAGGCAGTTGAGAGCCACAGAGGAGGGGAGATTAAAGGGAGAAGTGGTAGGGGGCAATAAGCTTTCGAGACTGGGTGGCAAGATGGGGTTGATGTTTATAGAG